AAAGACATAAAATCACAAAATTGATTACTATAAGTAACCAATCTTTATAATTTGCCACGGGAGATATGTGTAGAGCAAACTTGAACATGCCTTGTGCAATATTTATAATGGTTAAAATCAAATTGTTGATTCCTTTGGTATTTATATAGGGTGATGAGGTATCTTTGGGATACAACTTATGAAGCCGATAGAGATCACAAATAACGTTACAAGTTACTCCAACTAACCAGACTTTATAATCAGATAAAGGAGATTAGACAACAAAATATGCAAAGATTGCTGATGCAATACACATGCTTGATGACAAAATCAAAATCACATTGTTGCTTCCAGCCATTGTATTGGTGCGGTTTAGTGACTGATTTTATTCCAAATCCAATCAGCATTTATCTAATCAGCTCTTAAAATTAAACAACGCAGAACAAATGTTGTTCCTCGTAAAAATAAATGAAAAATAAAGCAGACAAAAGACTAATAAAAAATAATTAATTAAAGATGAAGAGTAGAACAATGTCACTGAAAGTATGAGAAACTTGAGTTGAGACGTAGATCAATCACTTTCTTTAGGATGTTTTGTGCCACTGGTACAGCAATTTGTTTATGGTCACATCACTCTTAGGATACAACAACCCAACATTTCCTCGTTGTATCTTTATAAGTACTGCACTATTGTAAAGAAAGCTCTACCCCATCACCTTTAGCTTGCCCGAAGAAGTTTGAAGCACAAGTACTGTATTTTTTTTTCTTGGAATGAGAGTGCAGGTTGTAAGATTGTAAAAATTAAAATTTTGGTAGAAATAGAGGTTGCCTTTTTATAGGCTCTACTCTGTAACTAAAGTAGACAAATTGTTGTAATTTGAATTGAAATTTCTTGGTATCAAGCAAGATTTGTAACTGATGCAGTGCAATGTTAACCGACTGACATTTGAAACTGATGCAATAATGTATAGATTAAAAAACATTTGAAAAACCAGAAATGAATGGATTTGTAGCTATTACCGATTAGGAAAAATAGATTTCTAACTGTTGAGATTAAAATTTTTTTTAAGTAATGGATTCGTAACCAACTAGAATTGATTTTGAAAATAACGGATTTGTAACCCACTGGAATTGAACAATTGGTTACAATTTTTAATTAAAATTTATAATAACAAATGGAGGCAATTATCCATGTGAGAGATGTGAACTCAAAGTGATTATAAGTAATAGATTCAGTGACCCCGATTATGAAACTAAACAACCTGGTTTGTTTGTGGTCACAATCCTACCAGTATACA